ACTACCCACTGCCTTGAGTGTACCTTTGACACCCACCCTCATTGTTCCAGTCCTCCCTTCTGATCTGCCCCAAAGACAAGCATAACTCTCCTTTTCTTCTTTTTTTAATGGCTTTAATGCTGACCTCCACAGAGAAACACATTGGGGAAAACAGAGATAAAAGTAGGTGAAGTGACAAAGAATCTAGGAAGTTGTCTCAAGGCTGTAGCCTTGAGCCTTACCTATCAAGCCCCCTTCCAAAATGGTAATGGACAGCCTACTGGACTGTTGCTCTCAGGCAAAGATTCAAAGGGTGTGGCTCACAAAACAAAGGGTTCAAAGGGTGTGGCTCTGATACTTTTCTAAAAAAAATTTTTTAATGGTTTTTATTTCTCCCAGTTATAAAGAAACACATGGACTCTGAAGAAAAATTAATGGTAAATAAAAATATAAAGAATAAATCACCCTAATTCTACAACCCAGAAATAATCATCAACGTTTTGTTGTCATCTTTTTTTAATCTTTAACTAGATAAACTTTATCAGCACACATATAATATATACCTTTCCTATACAATGTATACCACCCAGAAATAACCTTTAACACTTCTTCAAGTCTTTTCTGTCTTTAACTAGATAAATGGTTATCAGTACACATAAGATGCATATCTCTCATAATTATGAATTATGTTGGTCACTATTACAATAGTGAAAAGCTCAAAACAACTTACATGTCCTTTAATAGGAAATGGTTAAACTAGAATATATTATGTACTCTAGAATATGGAATACTAAGTGATATTTTTCTAAAAGTGCTATTGTGGAAATGTGTTTATTGAAATGGAATGATACTTATAATGTGTATGTTTAAAAAGGAGGGGGAGGAGTTTTTTTTACCACATTAAAATTTTTTTCAATAATTTACAAAGGGAGGAAGGGTGCAAAATTCTGTTTATGGTAATACCCTTTTCTTGGTGTGAAAAATAAATTTTATGTACCAGGCACTGAGCTAAGCACTTTACATACATTATCTAATTTAATTATCATGGCTTTGGTAAAATTTTTTAAAATTTCCTCTTCACAGAAATACAAGGGACTGCCCTGGTGGCACAGTGGTTAAGAATCCACCTGCCAATGCAGGGGACACAGGTTTGATCCCTGGTCGGGGAAGATCCCACATGCCGCAGAGCAACTAAGCCCATGCGCCACAACTGCTGAAGCTCACGTGCCCTAGAGCCCGCGTGCTGCAACTACTGAAGCCTGTGCCCCTACAGCCCGTGCTCCACAACAAGAGAAGCCACCGCAATGAGAAGCCTGTGCACCGCAATGAAGAGTAGCCCTCGCTCGCTGCAACTAGAGAAAGCCTATGTGTAGCAAAAAAACCCAACACAGCCAAAAATAAATAAATAATTTTTTTTAAATGAAGAGCAGAGAAAATATTTGGAAAAAAACAAAAAAACCCCACATGAGACCCCAAGATAACATTAATGCAAAAATTGTCAGGGGTAGAAAGGAGAGGGAGAATTAAGTCTCCCCTAGGTAAGGCAATACAGCTTGGGCACCCAGGAACCTGGAGAGGATGAGCCCTCAGAAGGGGTTTGGGGTTGGGACATGTAGAGCATGAGGGGCTTCTGGGGAAGAGGTCAACAGTTGGGGACAGAGACATCTGGAGCTTGAGCTGCTGGAATCCAACCTCACCTGTGTCATCATTTTGATGTTCCCTTTTGGAGTCAATCCAATGATTAGGCAAAGGGTGATGTCACAGGGATTTTCTTTGAAATAGTTCAGAATGGGGAGCAGAGCCTCAGGAATGTCGAATGGGAGTGATGAAGTCTTGAACTTAAAAGGGTCGCTCTGCTGTGAGAAACCCTGGGTACCTTCAGAGCCCCAACTCCTTCACTATTGGACAAAGATCACTTAGTGTTCATCTTTTTACTGAGCTTCCTACCCCAAGCACGTAAGAACCTGCTACCCTGTAGGAAAGCATGTCCTGCACCTTCCGTGTAGTTAACTACCCAACCTAAACCCAGAGGAAGCAGCAGCACCAGGCCCCTCTTTGGGACACATCATCCCCTCTCCCTCCTCTGATGTGACTGATTACCAGGTCACTCGTCTACTGCCAACAGCCACCACTGTTTCTGTTCCAGCCAGAACTCCGATGGCACATCTGGTGGCCTAGTTTTCAATGGGGCAGGGGCAAGATGGCTGCAGACCTCTGGCGATGGGCATGGACTTTCTGCAGAACCAGTAACAGACGCAGAGCTAGGAGAGATCAGGGCTCGGTCACAGGGAGGACCATGGAAGAAAAGGACAAATGCCAGGCAGGCTGATTCGGGCAAGACTATACAGAAGCCAGATTTGAATGCACTTTGGGCAGAAGTACTTGCTCCACACATGAGACTTTCCCAGGAAAATGAAAAGGGAGATATATCACCCGAAACCACTCCAGAAAAAGAAATTCCCAGGTAAAAATCATGAATAATTCCAGAGATGGAGTTAAGACCCAGAATTACACATAGTCAATAATAATTTCCTCTAGTGATTGCATTTAAACTTAATGCTTTCTTTTGAAACGGATAATGAAGTGTGCCCTTACATGAATTTTGGAACTGAGCGCTTAAGTGAGGAAGGCCCTTGGGGGACACACCCAAGACCCCTAAATTCACACCAGGGAGGCAGCCACCCCTCTGCCAAGGATTGCAGATGCCCACCCCACAATGGACACTACGCTCTTTAGCTCTTATCTGGGAAGCTGTTTTTGCCTCTCATCATTCCCTTTGACTATTTAAGATGGTTTTAATCATTAAGATCTGAAATCTCATTGCTGCACCAGCATTTTTGTTTGCAGTCTAGAAAAGTACATAATTAAATACTGGTTATCAGATAACCAATAATCAGATCTACTTGGCCTTTGATTCACAGGCTATCAGCTAGTTTTATAATCTCTAATGTCATAGGCAGTTACTGTACTCATTAGCCTCTGAGCAGGAAGACCATTTCCATGAGTGGAACCAAACTCAAGTGTATTCCCGTCCCCACCTTAGTTTAAGGACATTAGCATGGTTTTATTTCCTAATTTTATTTCCCTCTTTCTTTGTATGTTTAATTAGGCTATAGATTCTTTGAACTCTAACTCCTGATTTGTTGTGTCTCTCACAGGGTTTACCAGAAGGCTAGACCCACAGGCACTCTCAGTACTGAGATTCCAGTAGGAATATGGTACTGTATCATCTTTTCTGTCAGCATCACAGGTGTCCACAATATTAGAGATGGAAGGGACTTACAAATATAACATACTTCAACTCCCTCATGTTACAGATGAGAACACTGAGACTTAGAGAGGGTGAATGGCTTGTGCAGGTTCCCACAGCACAGAAGCCAGGACTAGAATTCAGGCCCCCAGTTTCCAAGATCAGTGTTTTTCCTAATTATAGTGAACACTATCTCAGTTTAACAGGAGGTGCTTCCCCATCCAGAAGAGCCTTGTGTTTCTAACTCTCCGTGGGGAAGCCAGGGGGATTGCTCCTGGGTACCCAGGCAGGTGGCTGCAAGGCCTCTCTGATGCTACCACAGCATCTGACACTCCAGGGACTGATTCTGGAAAAGTGGGAGGGGTCCCAGATTTTAGGGGCCTAAGAGACCAGACCAAACCCTATACCTCTTTGAGTCCTTGGTGGGGGATTTAGAAGAAATCTTGGCTCTCAGAGATGGTGACAGAAGGAGGAAAAGAGAGAAGGGAAATAACCTGACAAAGATGCAGGCACTAATCTCCCCTCCTCGACAGAAAATGGGAGAACTTAAGCGTTGGCATATCTCCCGGAAATGACTTGCAAAAGAATCACTTTGGAAAGTGCCTTTGATTTGGTTTAGGCAAGAAGACCACACAAGGAATGAATATTCTCTGGATGCTGTCTACAGACAGCCTATCCTGGAAATAATTGGCTACCTTGTATCAGCCTTCGCCTGTGTGGTTTGATTCAGAAAATTGATAAAGAATAAATAAATGATAAAGAGTAAATCCTAAGAGTTCTCATCACAAGAAAAACAATTTTTTCTGTTTCTTTAATTTTGTATCTATATGAGATGATGGATGTTCACTTAATTTATTGTGCTAATCATTTCTTGATGTATGTAAGTCAAATCATTATGCCATACACTTATACAATGCTGTCTGTCAATTACATCTCAATGAAACTGGAAGGGAAAAAAAGAATAAATGGACATTAATTTTTCCTGTCAAGTCATTTTCTCTTAAGACAGGTTGGGCAGAAGTACATCGTAGGGAATGTTTTTCATTTTCCTCTGCAACTCCAGGGCTGAGCACAGACCTGGCACAGATTAGGTCAAAGCAGATTTACCAGTGAAGGGCCCCTCACTTGCACCGCTCCTTCTGAAGTTCAGGGAGGAGACCCCGCAGTGTGTTCACTAGCCATATGCCTTGTAATTTGCAAAAGTAAAAGGTTTCAGGCATAATTGTCTGTAGCTATTTGTGTTACTTTAATCAAGAATCCTGGCTAACGTAGACAGTAAGTGTTGGAGCTAGGACTTGAACCCAGCCTCTTAGTTCTGGTCCTGTGCTCCCTCTATCATGCCACTCATGTAACTCATCTCAGGCTACAAGCCAAGCAAACCTTGCTGCTACCCTGGCAGGTAAAAGTCAGAATCCAGGGCTTCCCTGGTGGTGCAGTAGTTAAGAATCCACCTGCCAATGCAGGGGACACGGGTTCGAGCCCTGGTCTGGGAAGATCTCCCATGCCGCAGAGCAACTAAGCCCGTGGGCCACAACTACTGAGCCTGTGCTCTAGAGTCCATGAGCCACAACTACTGAGCCCACGAGCCTAGAGCCCATTCTCCACAACAAGAGAAGCCACCACAATGAGAAGCCTGTGCACAGCAACAAAGAGTAGCCCCCACTCACCACAACTAGAGAAAGCCCACAAGCAGCAACGAAGACCCAATGCAGCCAAATATAAATAAATTTTTTTAAAAAAGTCAACATCCATGGGGAGGAGTTTTACCTACCTGACTCCTAAAAATACTTGCAGGAGAGTGCAAATGCCAGAGACGAAGAAAATGGTGCTGATGAGGTAGCTCTGGGTCAGGGGGTCATGCTGCAAACACAGGTCCTTGGCCAGGATGAGCGGAACTGCCACGAGTCCCCCCAGGGCTGTGAGGAAGTGCTGTGGGCAGAGCAGAGAGAGATGGGCTTGGAGATGCTGTAGTTGCCTACTCCACCTTCATTCCTATACCTACTGCCAGAGGCAAGAGCTCCATCTCTGTTCTCAGAGGAGCCTGGCCTTGAGTGACAGGCAGTGAGATCCAGGCAAGCAGTAGGAAGGAACTAAGAAGGCCTGGCAGCAAGAAGCAGGGACCCAGCCAGAAGGTCTGGAGTTCAAGGGCAGGACCCTACTGCCAAGAACTGATGTTCTAGGTAAGAAATCGAGGCAGGGACACAGCACAGGAGGATATAACATGAACCAAGGAGGGGGCCTTAAGAACAAGAACAAGGCAAGAGGCTCGTTATTAAAATAAGGCACAAGGTGAGGGCAAGACCATTGACCAGGAAGGCCTGAGCACATTCTCCAAGATAGATCGTATGTTAGGTCACAAAACAGCCTTAGCAAATTTAAGAAGATTAAAACCATACCAAGAATCTTTTCTGTCTGCAATGGTATGAAACCAGAAATCAATAACAGGACGAAAACTGGACATAAGTTTGGGGAACTTAAGCAACACACTTCTGAATAATTAATGGGTGAAAGAAGAAATCAAAAGGTAAATCAAAAAATATCTTAAGACAACTGAAGATGGAAACAAAACATACCAAAACTAATGGGATGCAGCAAAAGCAGTTCTAAGAGGAAAGTTTATAGCAATAAATGCCTACATTAAGAAAAAAGAAAGATCTCAAATAAACAACCTAACGTTATTCCTCAAGGAAGTAGAAAAGGAAGAACAACGTCCAAAGTTAGAAGAAGAAAGGAAAAAACAATGATCAAAGCAGAAATAAATGAAATGAAAAGCAATAGAAAAAAATCAGCACAACTAGAGCTGTTTTTTGTTTTTTTGTTTTTTTTTTTTTTTTTTGCGGTACGCGGGCCTCACTGTTGTGGTCTCTCCCGTTGCGGAGCACAGGCTCCGGACGCGCAGGCTCAGCAGCCATGGCTCACGGGTGCAGCCGCTCCACGGCATGTGGGATCTTCCCAGACCGGGGCACGAACCCATGTCCCCTGCATCGGCAGGCAGGCTCTCAACCACTGCACCACCAGGGAAGCCCTAGAGCTGGTTTTTTAAGATAAGCAAACCCTTAGCTAAACTCAGAAAAAAGGAGAGAAGACTCAAATAAAATTAGAAATGATACAAAAGAAATACAAAGTACCATAAAACACTAGTATGAACAATTACACACCAACAAATTGGATAACCTAGAAGAAATGGATAAATTACTAGAAACACACAACTTACCAAGACTGAATCACGAAGAAATAGAAAGTCTGTATAGACCAATAAGTAGTGAGGAGATTGAAACAGTAATCAAAACTTTCCAATGAAGAAAAGCCCAGGAACAGATGGTTTCACTGGTGAATTCTATCAAACATCTAAAGAAGAATTAGCACCAAGCCTTTCCAAACTATTCCAAAAACTGAAGAGGAGGAAACACTCCCAAACTCATTTTACAAGGCCAGCATAAACCCTGATACCAAAGCCAGATAAGGACACTACAAGAAAGGAAAACTACATGCCAATATCCTTCATGGATATAGATGTAAAAATTCTCAACAAAATACTAGCAAACTGAATTCAACAGCACATTAAAAGGGTCATACACCATAACCAAGCGGGATTTTATCCCTGGATGCAAGAATGGTCAATATACACGGGTCAAAAAATATGATACACCACATTAATAAAATGAAAGCCAAAAATCATATGATCATCTCAATAGATGCAGAAAGAGTATTTGACAAAATTCAACATCCTTTCATGATAAAAATATCTACATTATCCATTTTATTGGCTCATAATAATATTTTTTAAAATAGTATGATATTTGCTCTTCTTATTTTGTAGAAAAGCACAAAGAAGTTAACAAAAAAGTGTATCCCATCCCTGGTACCCCACATTGAAGTGTTTGCAAAATTAAAAGAAACACATCTATGAGATTAGAAAATTCAAGCTACAAAAGTTACAAAATAAACAGCGAAAGTTGAAAGCCACCCTTCCTTTCCTAGTTTCTCTTTCCAAGGCTAAATACCTCTATTAGTTTCTTGTGAATTCTTCGAAACATGCAAAATTACTACATATACTTATTTCTATTGTTCTATTTCTCTTTTGTTTGTTAGTTTTTAACACAAAAAAAGATCACATTATACACAGTTATTTACTTGGCTTTTTTCACTTAATATATACTGGTGATCATTTTTTAACTGCAAGGTAGGTACATCTTTCTCTTTCTAACAGCTACATAAAAAAATTACTTGTTAGGATGTGCCACAGTTCTCTAAGATGGATATTTTGGGGGTGTTTCTAGGGTTTTGTTTGTTTGTTTGTTGTGATTTTACTATTACCAAAAGAAGAACATCTTTGTACTTACCTTAACGAGTCTTGCCAGCATATCTATAGAGAAATCCTTTTTTTTTTTTTTAATTTGGCCGTGCCGCATGGCTTGCAGGATCTTAGTTCCCCAACCAGGGACTGAACCCTGCCCTCAGCAGTGAAAGCATAGAGTCCTAACCACTGGACCCCTGGGGTATTCCCTACAGAGAAATTCTTATGCATTAGGGACTGGGTTAAACAATATATATGTTTTACATGTTCACAGAAAAGTTGCACCAAATAACATTCCAACAAGTTTGAGAGTGCTTGTTTCCCAATATTCCCCAAGCATTGGTTATCAAACTTTTTAGTTGTTGCCAAACAAATTATAATTAGTATCTTGGAAAAAAAAAAAACCAACACCACAATGGCCCAGTTGGTGTCCTTGATGTGACATTAGCTCAGCATGGGGGAGAATCCTCCCTTAACTCCATGCCCCACCCCCAAACTCCTTGAGAGAAAGAGAGACTGGAGGAGCCTTGAGCCCCCTGGAGGTCAACAACATGGAAGCCAAGAATATCAGCAATTTGACCTGAGTGTGTGTTCATGTGCCTTTTGAGGCAGAGCTTCTTTGGACCCAGTGCTTATGGGTGGCATTACCTGGACCCCCAAGAAGATGCAGAGATACCATGGTGGGATATCCAGGATGCTATAAGCCAGGTGGTTACTGCTGAGACCCCTAGGCTGGCCATCCTTCTTCTTGCCTTGGCCACCTTCATGGGAGTTGAGTACACCATCACCCCTCTGCTGAGAACAAGAGAAAAACACATCTGAGCATTTCAAGAGGAATCAAGTAGACTTTTGATGCCGAAACCTCGGCCTCTGTCCACCGGTACTGAATCAAATCTCAGAGACAGAGTTTGGGGTGAATTAGAAAAGAATAACTTCATTATTTTGCTAGGCAAAGGGGGACACAGTGGTCTCCTGCCCTCAAAAACTATGTGTCCTAACCTGGGAGGATTTGGTGAGGAGTTTTATAGCAACGGTTCAAAGGTGGATTTGCTGATAAGATTAGGGTGTGTGCAGGGCCTGCACTCCTTTAATCTGATCTCAGGTAATCTGATGAGTTTCTGTGGTTCTTTTAATCTGGCCTCAGGTGGTTTTCTTGAAGAGCTTCTCTGGTTCCTTTAACCTGGAATGAAGAATGCTGACATCTTCCATTTATTGCGGGCTTTAGTTCTATAAAGAACTCAGAAGATATAGTTATGTGTATCCCTTGAGGCTGAACCAGGACCTGCTCCAAGGCTGCACTATGGTTTCCTGGCTGCTCCTCCCGTGTCTCTGCATCCCCCTCCCTTCCCTGATTAGCAACTGTTTGAATCTGTCCTTTGGGACTCAGGGAAGGTCATGGAAGCTGGAGTCTGTTCCCTACAAACAAGGAACGGGGAACACGGAAAGGCTTCCGTCCCCAGGAGCCCCCTAGGGTCCTGCTCAGTTTCACTTTCTGATTTCAACCATACAGATGGACAGCTTTCCAGAGGCAAGAGCGATGGGATAGAGATAACTGCTGGCCTGCTTGGGATTTCTAGGTCAAAAGACCAGTGATTTTCTATATTATACATCTGCAGCAAGACCTCCACATGCAGTCTGGGGCCAATCAAGAGAGGTGGGTGCCTTGCCTGAAGCCCTGGCAGAGAAGAAACTTTGTGGAGGAGGGAATGGGGGTCAACTCCACGGTCAGGAAATGGGCAGGTAAATGGGGATTCTGGCCCAGAACGGTGTAGCTGCCCTTGCATATGCTCCTACAGGCCAGCCTTGCGCCAAAGCCCTCCTCACAGCATGTTGATTATAATGGATGGACTGTTTCCTTATCCATCTCTTCTGCTGGGGTGCGAGTTCCTAGAATGCATTCACTGTGCCTTATTCTTTTTGTCCCAGCTTCTAGAACAGGCTTTGTGCTCAGTCTGAACAGTCTGAGTGTATGGATGAATAGATATAACACAAATGTAAATAGGTGCAGGGCATACAGAATGCTCTAGGGTCAATAGCCAAGTTATATTCCTACCAGTTTAACCCCCAATTAACTTTGAATCGTAAACCTTCTCCTCCAACTTACTGGCTGTATAGTTTACCAAACTTGGGCAAATTACTAATATTTTTAAGCCTCATTTGTCTGATCTATATAACAGAAATGTCAATAACATCTACTTCATAGTTGAGGCAGTCCTCCTCCTCCTTCATGGGTTAGCGCACTGGCAAATCTGATCCTAATTCCTTCCCAGTACTCGGGGCCCACATCACTGGCGATGGAGAAAATGGCCCAACACGCTGAGCCTCCAGGCAGCCGGAGGAGCCCAGGGCCGTGGTCAGGCTTGCTGACCGTGGGTGGAACTGAGCCAGCCACAGCACAGTTCTGCAGAGTCACATTGTTCCTGGGCCTCAGAACAGCGTTTGCTCATTAACCTTCTAGCATTTAGTTTCTGAAACTTAAATGTAAGGATTTTGTCTCTACTCATCTATTTAGCAATGCCTGGGAACAAGCATCCCAAAACTGTTCCAGGAAGCATTCCCTGACTTCACTCCACCCCAGCCTCAGACCAGACGGGACCTTCCCTCCTCAGAGGCATGTTTACTACAGCCCAGAACACACCTCACTACCATCATATGTCTTCTCATCCAAAAGGCCATAAAGTCCCAAAACTACTCCATCTCTAGCACAGAGTTAGTGCTCACAGCACTCTCTGTTGAGCTATAAAATAAATGAACCCACGTAAAATGACCATAAAGAACTTTTCTCACGGATTTTAAAAAATACTTAACTGGTTAGAATTCTTTGGAAACAACACGCTGATCTTATTTAGACTCCTGAAAAGAAGGAGGCACTGATGCTACTTGGTACTTGGGTCGCACAAGAAGGACGGCTGGCTCTGCCTAAGGAGGTCAACGCCAAGCCAAAGATGGCCGGGAGGCTGCTGGAGGGAAGTCTGGAGCACTTATCGCGAGGTTTTAGTGAAGGTGTGGCACAGTCAGTGAGCACAATAGCGAGAGCGGGAGAACAGGCCGAGGAAAAAAGAGGAGAGGCAGGAGGAAAGAGCGGCTGGCTGATTGGCTGGTTGGTTGATTGATGCTGGGTAGGCTACACAGAACAGCAGAGCGCCCAGTTTGGAGTGGGGGAGACGTGGTCTGTCATTCGCCTGCTTGGCAGCCATAGGCACTTCACTTTCCCTCTCCAGGCCTCCGTGTCCCCTTCTAACTCTGGGATGGTTGCAAAAATACTGGAAGTCTGTGTGGCTGCCTGTTATGTGCACCGGTGATTGAGCTCACCGGGCTGGGGCAGGTACAGCTGCCAGCAAACTCACCTCATACCTTCTCCCAGGACCCCTCGGAATTCTCAGAAAGGTGATGGGGAGGGAAACACTGACTGAGGGAAATGTTAGTTTGGGGTCTTTTTTTTTTTTTTTTCCTATTAAGAGTCAATGACTCAAAGAGTGTTCTCAGCCTGATGACCTCTGAATGTTCTAAGTTCTGTCTAGATATCAACTTGGACCATCTGAAGGTTATGGAAACCACTTCTGTAATCGTTTTAAAACAGTTTTCTGGGAAATTGACCTTGTATAGGTCCCACATGAAAAAAAAATTAGAACTGAGAGTGGGGAAAAACTTGTCTTCGTTGAGAACGGCTGGTTCTTCGCTTCTGATAAGAGTGTAAGACTTCTGTGAAACCCATCAGTCATGGCTGGTAGAAAGCATAGGGCCTGATCAAAATATATCTTTTGTTGTAAACTACCTTACATCACTTATGCAAAGCACTGGGACAAAAAATAAAATAAGAAGGTACACAGTGTACCTGAGATTCCGGTGTATCAGAGATGAGTCACTAGCATATTAAAGACACACATAGAAACAAGTGACGTCCCAGAGGTATTTTAGAGCAGGGGCTTCTCAGATGGAGGTGGAAGAAGTCCCATCTCAGGGCATATCCGGCTACGGGAGGTGCCTTTATCCCAGGAGAATCCCTGGGCGGGAAAATTCTGAGTCTTAGAGCAGCAGCAGAATGCCTACAAATCCCTTTTTGAAGGAAGGATGAACTCTTAACGAAGCTTCCCTGCCAGTGAGCACTGGTGTGAGAAGGGGGGCCACAAAGTCTCCTGGTTGGAATTGTCTATCAACTCAACACACGAGCTGTAATTTCGCCAAAAGCCTTGCTCCAAAGAGGCATTGTGCTGAGGCTTGGCATTTTATAGTGCTTCACAGTTTGCAAAGACCTTCCAATGCATCCTCTCATTTGATTCTCACAACCCAGTTTAAGGATGAGGAGACTGAGGCACAGTGCGGTTACAGTGAGGAGACTGAGGCTTGTCCGAGGTCCCCTTGTAAATGGGAGAATGGAACCCTCCTCTTTTGGTGTCGAGGGCAGTTGCTGGCAGGTGCTTCCCTGTGAGTACAGGGACAGCTTGCCAGCTCTCAGGAGCAGACCAGCAGAGCAGCAGGAGACTCTGCTGCAGAGGGAGTAGCAGTGGGAAGGAGAGTACCTGGGGGGGAAGTGAATCCCTTGGCCCTCTGACTCCATCCATCCCCCATACAGCCTCCCACTCCCTGATGTGCCCTTCTAGCTTTGCTTCCTAACACTTCCATTCAGCTGACTCTAGCCAATGGGATTGACCATATCCCTCCAAACGTGGCCTCAATTATCCTGCCTCAGTGCCTTTGCTCACCCTGTGCTCCCTACCTGATCCCCACGACCCTGCTTCCCCTAAACCCACCTTCAAAGAGCTCAATGCCTCCTTTTCCTTTACCTCTTCTGCTTCCCCCACCCGATATGATTGCCCTCCTTGTACTCCCAACACATCATGTGCTCTGTTATGTAATTCACCACCTTCTCCCTTGTATCAGAAATATTTTTTTATACCCCGCTTTCCCCTAACTAGGCCATAAGTTTTCAACGTGGGGAAGCTGTCTTCCCCATGTTTATATCCCTAGAAGATTCTAGCAAAGCAATATGCACTTGAAAACCAAACACATCTCAGAAAATGGCCTCTTAATCTGGGTGCTGAAACTGAGGCTTTGAAGAAAATGACAAGACAGGCCACTGAAAAAAAAAATCAGATGTGTCCAGACTCCTCCACTCCCCACTGGCCTCAGGTGAGCCAGAGGTGGAAAACAGCACAGCCTTCAGAAAATGGAGTCTTCAACTTATTTCCCAAGATTTTTTTTTTTTTTTGGCTTCCATAAGGTAGTGGCAGAAGGGTTTAAAAAAAAAAAAAAAAAAAGGCCCCAAATGGAGTCACTTATGCTAAGCCCCATGTCGGCAAACCAAGACTTAGTATCTCCCCTAACTGCAGTTTCAGTCTCTCCCAGGAATGTAACCTTTAACCAGTCAGTCTGGAATTATCTGGTCAGCACTAGTGAGCTGATCTGCCTGGTAGACACCTGCTTTCAGGAAAGTGACCTCGCCTGAAACAATCCATTCTTTGATAGAATAACTTCCTTGCCCTGCCTCCTTCTGCCTATAAAACTCTTCCATTTTGCACAGATCCTCAAAGCTCCTTTCTATCTGCTATGATGGGATGCTGCCTGTTTCATGAATCATTGAATAAAGTCAAGCTTTAAATTTACTCCATTGAATTTTGTTTTTTAACAGAAGGAATTCTGAGGAGAAGACAGGAGATTTCTCTCAGGTGTCTTCCACAATATTCCAGAAGAGATGGTCAGGGTCTCTTTATCAGAAGGCTGACCAGCAGTGGGCAGGGTCTGACAGCCTGGCTCCAGGCGATAGTTCTGAGGGCCCAGCCTAGGTTTGTGGGTGGCACCTGTCCCACAGACACTATGGCTGCGCCTGGTGGGGGGAGGCTATTTCTGGCTACGGTGGGCAGAGGGTCCCCAGTCAGTCCCCCCTGTTGTTTTTAGGTGGCCAAAATAGGTTGGAGAGAATGGTGGGACCAGGGCTCAAGGACGAGATACAGGGGCCTCCAGATGGGTTACTGTCACTTTACTTCTCTGGGCCTCAGTTTCCTCATCTGTAAAATGGGAACCGAGGTGCATGCTTCATTGGCTTGAGGGTAGAAAACAAAGTACATAAAGTGCCTGGGGCATACTGGTTATTCAGTAAATGCTAGTTCTCTCTCTCTCTCTGCTTCCCTCTCTCTTTCTCTTTGTCTTGCTTCAGAAAGGGCTTCTGATCAAAGAAATCATAATGCTGAGAAACTTACAAAACAAACATTTAGATTCAACAGAGTGAAGCAAAGAGGACTTTTCAGCTCTCCCTTCTTCCTTTGTAATTCATTCACAGAGTTTGGCACCCAGGGAGGAATCTTTGCCTCTGTGAGGGTGAGGTTGGGAGGACAGCTCTAATAATCCAAAGTCTTACCTAGAACATGAGTCAATGTCCTTAGCACTAAAAATGAATCTGCATTAGGACTTCATGCTGGGACCCCCTCCAGGCATCTTTCCTCCTTTCTGCTACCCCACCCCTTATGTTTCCCTCTCTTCTACCAGTGCTCACCAAGGGCTCGGGGTGCTCACAGCTGGTGATGGCAGAGTTCATGGCCGCTTAGGGTCTTCTCCTGTTGGCTTCCTCTCAGAACAAAAAAGAAGCCGCTCCAGGAGAGGAAGATTAACTTCTCACCGCCTGCCAAAATAATCAGAGAAAGAGGAGGATCTGGGCCAGCTCTGGGGAGGGTGGGGCCTCCAAGCCCCACCTGCTGGTCTGCAACAGACTCCCCCTCCAGCCCTCTCCGGTCACACTGCAGGGGACCAAGGTGCCTTCAGTGGCAGGGAATGTTTCACAATTTGATAAGTATGGGTAATTGCAGGAGAAGTTAATGATTCCTCTTGGCACCAAGGAAACAAATCAGGATGCAGCCTGTTGGGATGTGGCAGGAGAGCACTTTCCGGAAGCCAGGTTTCCAGGGGCAGGAAATGAGGGGGATGAGGGTGAGGCTCTGGGCTGAACATAGAGGCTTTTCTGTTTTCTAAAGCTGATTTCTAGTGACTGGCTGAGATGGAATGAAAGCTGAGCCGGAATGAAAGCATTGCAAAAGTAGCGCAAGTAGCCTGGCCCCTGAGATGTACTAATGCAGTCATTAGTGACGGAAAGGTATTACTGCTGACCTGGGAGAGGCCACTAAGGCTCATGGCGGGAGCAAAGGCCTCAGGTGAGAGACGGAGGAAAAAAATGCTTCTAATCCTTGGGTGCTTGTCTCCCTAATACCCAGAAACTTCTAATAACCCCCCTTTCAGAGAGACAAGTCCAGGAAGGTATAGTCTTGCTCTTATTCTACACAGGGCACTAAAACGCTCCTCCAAAACTCTCAATAAGCCCCACTCTATGAAGTCCAGTGCAAGCAAATACCTGCTATTCATAATGATGGAATGTTCTGGAATGGGTAGCACTGGGTCTCAAGTTTCGGGAAACACACAGTGGGACACACGTAGACGTTGATGGGAGTCGGTCCAAGAGGAAGCCCTGAAAAACACAACAATGAGAAGTCTGACAAGGGAGGGGACAGAGCTGACTTAGGCTATAACAGAAAAACCAAGGTTAGAAGAAGAGAGTCAAAGGTCAGTAATTACTGAATACTTAACTTTGCACTGCACTACACCGTTTTTTTTTTTTTTTGCGGTACGCGGACCTCTCACCGTTGTGGCCTCTCCCATTGAAACAGACCTCAATCTCTTGAAAACAAAAAAATCAGCAGTTTTAAGGAAACACATATAATCCCCTTGGTAGCTTACCATGCGCCCGGTATGCATGCTGGGGAAAAATGGGGTTATGTACTTTTTAAGTGTGGACAGCAGAGGGCAGAGTTTACTGATTAGATTCTGTTTTCGGGGCTGAGGCTTGAGGAGGAAACCGGGGCACGAACCCGTGTCCCCCGCATTGGCAGGCAGACCCTCAACCACTGTGCCACCAGGGAAGCCCCCCCCCCTTTTTTATCTTAATGTGCACAACAAACTAGCATTCACATCCTTATTTTACAGGATTAAAAATCCTGTAAATTCAGGTTTTTTTAAGATTAAGAAATTTGGGTGTCAATGGGTTAAGCTATTTGCCCAAGATTCATAGCAAATACAGGAGCCGAGATTCAAACCCAGACAGTCTTGTTCCACAGCCCACGGGGCTCAAGGAGATGCCCAATGGAGACAGGCACGCGCTCTGGGTCTGAAGATGCACAAGGTGGGGCTCGGAGGAGATGGTCCAGGGAGTGTGGCCGGAGGGGCTTCCCCATGCTACCTGGAAAGGAAACACAGATCCTCTACAAAAGGCACCAGGGGCTCCAAGTTCACCTGAGAAGGGAAGGTGAGGCTGCTCAGCTCCAGGCGGCATGGGTCCTGCAGCTGTCGGGGTCCCCTGGGCACACTAAGTGTGCAGTTCCCAGGGCGGGTGAGGCAGGAGGTAAGGAGAGAGACCAGGTGCCAACATTCAATGGACAGTGAAGACCACGAGCTTCGGCTGTTGCTCCAGGAAGGCCAGGCTGCGGGTGCAGGGGTCCGAGGGGGGGCTGCCTGCACTACCCCCAGCCCCCCCTACCCTCGCAGACCTGTGGGCACAGGCAAAGTTGGGGTCACGCTGGACATCTCTTTTCTCCGTCACCCTCTGACGGCACGGAAGGAGGGAGCTTCTCAGCCTCTGCCCTCCCCACACTGAAGGTCCTTCCTCACTCCACTTCGCCCTTTCCTCTCCCTGCCGTTGGCTGGGGTGTACAAGTAAACTCCTCTGTAACATGAGACAAAATGGTGCGGGGTTAGCTAGCTACACAACAGAGGCAAAGCAGAAAGACGGTCTCCTGTCACCCCTTCGTTTGGTTGCCTGTACAGTGTGTTCAGAGCCTTCCTCCCTCTTTATCCTCAGGTTCTCTCTTCTGAGCCTGACACTCTGTCTCACACGGTTCTTTGTACGGGTCCTCCCAGCGTTCACCCTTTGGCTTGCGGTCACTGCCGCTGTCCCCACCTTGCTCAGCAGCTCGGAGGCGGAGCCGAGCCAGTCCCCTTCCTCTTCCTCCACCTTCCATGCCTTAGAAGTCACTGCCAGGGAATTCCCTAGCGGTCCAGGGGTTACGACTCGGCAATTTCACTGCCGAGGGCCCGGGTTTCGTCCCTGGTCAGGGAACTAAGATCCCGCAAGCCGCGCGCCTCGGCCAAAAAAAAAAAAAAGTCACTTCCACAGACTAGTCCCTCCACTCATCACTAGCCAGGCCCGGCTTTGAAACAGGAGGGAAAGGAGCAGGGCACAGCCTTTAAACAAATGACAGAGCCCTTAAGGATACGACATAAACTGGCTAGAACCTACTAGGTCCAAGATGGCTGAACATTCGACTCCCAGTAGCCCTTGAGCCTCGCTATACGCTCATTATAATATATTTACATGCTAATGACACACCCACATGCGCCTTGGCAGTTCTGAGGCCGACCATAAAAGGCCAAACAGTGGTGGGGTGGTGGGCTTCCCTGGTGGCGCAGTGGTTGAGAGTCCGCCTGCCGATTCAGGGAACACAGGTTCGTGCCCTGCTCTGGGAGGATCCCACGTGCCACGGAGCGGCGGGGCCCGTGAGCCATGGCCGCTGAGCCTGCGCGTCCGGAGCCTGTGCTCTGCAATGGGAGAGGCCACAACAGTGAGAGGCCCGCGTTCCGCAAAAAAAAAAAAAAAAAGTGGGCGGTGGTTCATTTCCTGGAAATCCCCGCCCCTTCTCCAAGATAGTTGAAATAATCCTCCTCCTCATTAGCCTATGAAATTACCCAGCCCATAAACGCTAACCACCCCATATTTTGGGGCCTCTCGCCTTCTGAGATGGCCCACGCTCTGTCTGTGGAGTGTGTTTCTCCCATGGCTGCTCTCACTTTCCGAAATGACCCCATGCCCTGGGGCCACTCTTGCCTTTTGAGACTGTCTGCATTCTGTGGAATGTGTATCTCTCTAAATAAATCCACTTCTTACCTATCGCTTTGTCTCTCACTGAATTCTTTCTGCACTGAGACATAAAGAACCTGAACCGGGCTTCCCTGGTGGCGCAGCGGTTGAGAGTCCGCCTGCCGATGCAGGGGACACGGGCTCGTGCCCCGGTCCGGGAAGATCCCACATGCCCCGGAACGGCTGGGCCTGTGAGCCATGGCCACTGAGCCTGTGCGTCCGGAGCCTGTGCTCCGCAACGGAAGAGGCTGCAACAGTGAAAGGCCCGCGTACCGAAAAATAAATAAATAAATAAATAAATAAAAAGAACCTGAACTTCAGTAGGTCCTGAGACCAGGTGTGTGATTTTAATTAAAAGACAGTGGATTCACGTCCCAATCTGGGTTTTGGCTGGGTTCAAGTCCCATCTGATTTGTGCGGTTTCAGCTTCTGCTACCATTTCTCACCCCTAAGCCACGGTGGTACCCGCAACTCTCCTGCGATCTCAGCTGCCCCAGCTGGTGGTCCTGCCCTCCCTCCCCAGCTGGAATGATCCTGCTACCCCATACACACACCGGCCTGAGGTTCGCCACACACACCCAACACATTCACATGTGATTATTATTTATGATGCTGTGTTTCAAATTACGGACATCTAGTTCTAATAATTAGCTCTCGCAATGAGAGAAATTGGTTTTAAGAACATGGAGTCTCTCTGGGAACCCATGATCTTTCCTCAAACACATGAAAGAGTTAAAACTCTTCCATTACATTTGCACACATAAACTTCTAATTCCAAATTTGAGGCAGCTCCTCAGGCCCCAGCCACTTTGGGAGGAGAAAGGCACTGGACCTCTCCATATGTAATGCATAATGGCCCCACCGAAAGCACCATCTTTGTGTGGAGTAAGCTACACAGGGAGGCTTGACCTGGACCTTTTCACCATTGAGGGCAGCTAAATTGGCTCTTGGCTGTCATAGGAGGGAATCTGCCAAGAGACAGCCATGGGGCAAGTCACACCTGACAGCAAGAATGAAGGAGGCCAGCAGGGTTTCTCAGAAGGTCAAGCTAAACTCAGGGTGCACCTCTTGGTTTTGCCATTGAGAATCCATTTAGCCTCCCCTCATTTTTCTCTTGGGAACCATCCTGACCCACAGCAACCAGTCCATGGGCTTCAGGCAGGGTTTACTCTGCCTCGTGGTGCCCTGCATGAGGGTGAGGGGCCAGCTGGAGCACTGCAAACTCCTGGCCACAGCCTTGGATTAGCAATGGTTATGGCAACCAACCAGAGACAATAGATGCAATGGAAATTTGCTGGGACTCTGGGGAGAGAGGCATTCTCTCTTTCTCACTAAACCTGAACCTAAAGGATGCTTGTCTGTAGCTGCTGACAGCCATCTCATGATACATAGACCAGGTCCCAGTGATATTTGAATCTATACATCAAGCCATACACCTCTGCTAAAAAGTTCTCTTTTTGGCTTAAACAAATTTGATTTGTGTTTTCTGTCATTTGCAACCAAAAAACCAATCCACAACTTATAATTTTAACTCCAGTCGTAGACTGGTTCTAGAGTAACGTATACAACATTTGTCAACTATTTACCCTTCACCAACAATGACTGTTAAATTTCAAGGGCATTAAAAATAACTTAAA